TTCAATTGAAAGAAAAGGTTGTGCCACTTAATGCAACGTGCAAGTGATCATTAATCTTATGTATCTTTGCAGGTTCTACAGAACACTGACCATATAAACTCGTGTAAACCGGTGAACAAGAATGATCCTTCATACGCCGAGACTCTGGCATTTTTGGAGAAAAGCTTGAAATCACGGGGCAAAAGAGCAGAATCCTAGGCCTTGTTTTTCCTTGATGCCGGTCGAGCTGAAGTACAGTACAGTACATCGCTTGCATGCGGATAGTGCACATAATTTCCATCGGCGGTATAGAGGCTTATGTTTTCCCAAGGGATTCTTGCCCTTTTTGTAGGAGATCTGGGCGGGGTGCTGTATTTTATGAAGCCTGCGCCCAATTAGACACAGAAATACGTTGTACATGTTGCGGACGAGCTGTAAATAGTTGCTCTCTTTTGGTAGCTGATGAAGTAGCTGATCTGTTGTATATATATTGTTTCACGCCCAAACAGTACGGGTTTTTTCTTTGAAATTCAGAAGCATATGTATTACCACATCATGTTTACCCGGATGGCCGGATGCCACAGATCCTCGTGTGTCCGTAGCTTTGCTCTGGTCAGCGAGCACGCCTAGTGTTTTTGATAGTTGTTTTGCCCTCTTGTTGAGAGGTTTGGTCGATATATTTGGTTTGCATTGGGAATTTCATTTTTTTTTGATGTCAGACAGAAGGAATGTAATGTTTCATTTTCTCAGGGAATCTTGATTCACAGGATTTTCAAAGCGCAGGAATAGAAAAAACACATGTGAGTTCTACATGACTTGGTTTGTTTGATTGCTTCACAGGAAAATGAAATGATTCTTACCAAGAAGTTTGATGGATACAAATGATTTTGTGAAGTTGTTTTTTAGGGAATGAAATAATCCTTAGGAAAAACTTTCCAAGGATTTAAATCCTCGAAAGCTAATGAAAATCCTTAGAATCAAAGAGGCCTTTCAGAATAAGTCAACATAACACCGAGTTTCACGAATCAGACACTAATCGTTACTCTCGATGGTGATGATGCTATTGATTGTGAACCTATATTAAGCTAGTATTTATAAAGAGGAATGAAAAAAATCACGGAAAGCGGAACTATTATGCAATACTTACCTTATGTAACACGATATGATTATTTAACTACTATGTTTGCAAAATCAATAACAACAAATGCACCAGAATTCTTAGAGAATATTCAAATACCACAAATAGCCAGCTCTATTAGTGTAATTATGTTAGAGTTAAGCCTTATAGCTTCTCACTTTTTATGGATTGGACATTTTATGACAGAACTCGGTGCATAGACTCCTTTTTTCTATATTTTTAGAGATCTAAAACTAGACATTTAACCCTGATCTCTCCCAAACCATGTGAATCCCACCCTTGGTTGGACTCGTTTCAAACAATTTCCTTTCTTTCTTGCTCGGCTCATTTGTTTCCAACATGAATAGAGAATACGCAGTCTTTTTGTTTCTGTTTCTCTTCTTCTCGTTTTTTTTCTTTTTGGTTCCATTTTCGGTTTTTCTTGTTTCTATTTCTATTTTGGTTTTATTTTCCTTTGATTTATTTCCTTTATATTTTTAAAAATAAAATATATTCGACTTATAAGAATGTATTTTCCATTTATTTTATTCTTTTTTTTCTATTTCCTTTTTCTTATTTTAACCTTGTCTTTCAGTTTTGTTTTCAAAATAAGTATAAGTGTTTTTATAAATAATTATATTATTTTGAAAATGCGTGAACCCTTTTTAAAATTATTTTTAAAGGTGTGAAGATTTTCTAAAAATTAAAAATTAACTTTTTTCCAGTATACGAACACTTTGTATGGATATTTTTCATAATGGCAGAAAGCTTTTTTGATTGCATGAATGTTATTTACAAATGTATGAGCACTTATTTTAGTTACATGACCATTTTTCAAACAGATAATGAAGAATTTTAATACATCATAAACATTTTAAAATACACAATCAATAGTTTTCTAATACATTAGAAACATGTTTTATACACAATGAAATTTTCTTGAAATGCACAACATACATTTTTATACACGCTTATATTTAAATAATACCTGATGAATATATTTAATATAAGATCCTGTTTTTTTATAATACCCAATGATCATTGGGTTTTTTGAAAATACATGATTTATTTTTAAATATGTGAATGCTATTTGAAAAAATGCATGAACATAGTCTAAATGCTTGATTTTTTTAAATGCTCTAACATTTTTTAAATGAGTGAGAACTTTAAATTACATTTTTTGAGGGGTGATAACTTTAAATTACATGAACATGTTTTTTGAAACATGCGTGAACAGTTTTTATAAGTACAATAACATTTTCAAAATATGTGGAGATTCTTTTAAGATATGGGTTCACTTTTTTAAAATGACATGAGCATTCTTTTATATACGTGAATACCTCTTTTAGTTAGATGAACCTTTTTTTCTAAAATGCAGGATGCTATTTTTAGTGAATATTTTTTTAAAACATGTACACAAAAATTAAAATATATGAATATATGCTCAAAAAATGTGGAAATATTTTTAAATTACACGATCCCTTAAAAAATGTGTTCATATATCTCCAAAATATTTTCTTACTTATCTCCAAAATATACTTTTAATTGTTAGCTAGAAGAATATAAGGATAAAAAACAAAATAATGAACTTTTTCTCAACCAATGGCAGACTATTTGATTCCTAGCGCTACCGTGAGCGTCACACTAGGTAGCTAGGCCGGTTCAAGTGCAATACGACTGAATGCAAGCATGATTTACAACTTGCAATAAGCGAGTCATTTTTTGACAGATCACAATAAGCTGAGTTTTTTTAGTGCGCAGGTGTG